GCCGAGGGCGAAGACAAGAACAAGCTGCACTCGTGCCACCTGTGCGGCTTCTCGTCGCGCTACGCCAACCACGTCAAGCGGCACATGAAGACGCACAACGGCGAGAAGCCCTTCAACTGCCCCGTGTGCGCCTACGCCTCGGCGCAGCTGGTCAACCTGCAGCGCCACCTGCGCATCCACACGGGCGAGAAGCCCTACAAGTGCGAGAGCTGCGCCTTCGCCTGCAGCTCCCTGGGCAACCTCAAGCGGCACCAGCGCATGCACATGCCCGTCGGCGCCAGGCCCGAGTCGCTGCAGCAGCCCGCCGCCGGGCACGCCGGCCTCAAGAGACACACCGTGGGCGGCCACAGAGCCAGCGAAGACGACGACGAAGCTGCCAAGGGTACGTTTGTGAAAACCACCGCGTAGCTTTTTTCTTTTGCCTTTCGGGCCACTCGCCAAAATACTCAAGCTAAATAACCTCTCTTGCGCCGTATCTTGTGGATGTGGAGTGATTTCAACACAGCCCACACATTTCTAATCCACTCAAGTAATTTTTTGCGCGCGCGCTGTGTCATTTCAGAGGTGGCCGCAGCCTCAGCCCACCTGACTCTGGCGGCTCAGAACGCCGACTACCTCTCGGCCTTTGAGAGTCTGAAAGGGGCGTCGCCGCAGTCCACGCCAGCCCCCAGCGCCGCCCCCTGCCACCCGACAAGCAACGGCCTGGGTGCCAGGGCGAGCCGGACGCCGCCCTCCTCGTCGCTGTTCCCCTTCACGTGCCGCCTGTGCGGCGTGGTGCTGGAGGACGAGGACGGCTCGTCGGCGCAGATCTGCGCCAAGTGCACACTGGAGATGCTCACCAAGGACTCGTCGTCGTCGCCCGGCAGCCCCGGCGAGCGCGGCGACAAGGTGTACACGTGCGCCGCCTGCCCCTTCCTCACGCATTACCCCAACCACCTGGCGCGCCACATGAAGACGCACAGCGGCGAGAAGCCCTACAAGTGCCCGCAGTGCGACTACGCCTCGGCGCACTTCGATAACCTCAAGCGGCACCACCGCGTGCACACGGGCGAGAAGCCCTACAAGTGCCACCTGTGCGACTACGCCTGCGGCAACCTGGCCAACCTCAAGCGGCACCAGCGCGTGCACTCCGGCGCCAAGCCCTTCGTGTGCGCCGTCTGCAACTACAGCTGCAACCAGAGCATGAACCTCAAGCGCCACATGCTGCGGCACACGGGCGAGAAGCCCTACAAGTGCCAGGAGTGCGGCTACACCACCGGCCACTGGGACAACTACAAGAGGCACCAGAAGAAGCACGGACACGCCACCGACGGCTGGGTCAAGATGCCACCCGCCGCCCCCGGGAGGAACCAGGATGACAAGGGCGGGCCCCGGGGCGGCCACAGAAAAGAGGCCGTGGCCGCCGCCGCCGCGCCGGAAATGGCCTACATGGCCAGGGAGGGCGCTCAGACTTTGCAGCACCCCAACTGGAAACTGGAAATGGTCTAAAGATGGCGTTTTGGTCAACTCTTTGATGCCTGCCTTTGCCTTCTGTCGTCGTGCTTCTGTGTGTCACCCTTCTACTCCCTCCGGATCCCAAGAGGCCGTTTCAAAGCAATGCAGCCTGAACGGAATCCCACTCCTTGAATGCCAGCCTGCCAGAGGACAAGTATGGTCAGAGTTGTGGCGGTACAGGTTGGGTCAACTTTGTGCTCCCAAAGGGAAGTTTGTCCAAAAGGCAAATGCATCTGCTCAAAGATTTTTGCATAATTGAGAAGATTTACCCATTTTTTTTTCTTCTGGAGACCAGGGAGTCTCTCTTACTATTTACCGGAAAACAAAAAGGTGTAAACTACCAATTATTTCGACTCTGCTACTACCCCCCAAGGTTTAAAAAAAAAAAAAAAAAAAAAGGAAAAGCCAGGTCAGTCTCACATTAGGGGCACAAATCGAAAAAAGGCTTTTCTACAGGCCACTCTTACTACCTAAAGCCAGAAAATGGAGTGCTTCACAGCATTGAATCTGCATTGGTGCTTCGATGAATAAGGAACGCCAGCCACCCCCCCCCCACCTTTCCCAGTATTGGGGAATTCTTTACCCACAGGCTGTGGTCCATCTCAGTTTTCATACTAATCCCAAAGCCGTGAAATTAAGTCTACCCCCTATTCTGCATCAGTGCTGTGGATAAGAAAAAAAAAAAGTGATGCCCTTTTTTTTTGTGTGTGTGTGTGGGGGGGGGGGGGGGTGGGGGGGGGGCGTCTATTGCGGTCTGAGGGGGGCCTTCTGTGGAATCTCCACACACAAGACTGACCTTGACGCGACGGCTCAGGTGCTAGCCCGTCAAAAAGCGCAAAAGTGACACGTGAGCGGGAGGGAAGGGCGTCAAAACGAAAATGGAATCTTTTCCAAGCAATTTGGATGGGCACTGGTGAAGGCGCGTGCCTTGAAAGTGACAAACTCCAAGCCAAGTGCTTCTTATATTGTCAATGGCTCTAAAATGAACTACGAGCCTTCCCAAATGTGAAGGACGGCTCGTCTTGAGGTTTTTTTCCCCCTATTTTGGTCATCGGTGTGTAGCTCTTACGTGTATTTGTGCGTGTTGTCCGTTTATTTTCTCACTGTGAAAATAGCCGTGGTTTACTGGAAAACAAAATGATGGCATTATTAGAACGTCCGCATGTGTCCATTTTTATTTTTCTAATGCCGTTACTCTACTCGAAGTACATACATTAATAAATATATATATATATATATATATATATATACACACACACACACACACACACACACACAAGGATATGGGATAGGATGGTTGTCTATGTAGTTTTTCCCCGAGGAAGTGTCGAGGAACTAATTTTTGCTTTTTGGTTTGATGTATGCAAGGGAAGGAATGCGTTTGGTCCGAGTTGGCGCTATCCAAACCGTCGGTTCCCCTACGTCCGCCCGCCAAAGTTATTGTGATCGCCTGCGTCCTTTTATGCAGCATCTGTCTCATCAATGCCTTAACAAGCAGCACACAAATAATTTAACACTTACTGTCTGATGACTTGTCCCCATACAATAAAAAATACACTATTTCCTCAGAATGTGGTCTAGTTTATTTTCACCCAATGCTTATTTCAAGATTTTGAAAAGACTTAAAAAAATACACTATTTCCTCAGAATGTGGTCTAGTTTTTCACCCAATGCTTATTTCAAGATTTTGAAAGGACTTGAGTTCATCTGCTCCGTTGTTGCTTAGTTTGGGCTACTTTAGATCTAGCAAGTGTGTCATCTTCTATTTTGATTCTACAATTTGGGAGTTAGTTTGGGCTACTTTAGATCTAGCAAGTGTGTCATCTTCCAAAGCTTATTTTGATCCTACAATTTGGGAAGGTATTTAATTGTTCTTGGCATATGGGGGTGTTTTTTTTTTTTCTACACAATTTGTATTGACTGCATGAGTGATGACCACCATCTCTCGAGCTCAAAAATAACAAAACTAGTTCTTTGAAATTAAGATTTAACTCATTCATATGCCGCAATTGCTTGACAAAATGTCATTGTTATTTTAATGAAGCTTTCTAGAACTGAGTCTGGCATACAAAAAAAAAAAAAAAGCACTGTCCTCTTGTGCTGAACTCTATTTTGCCTGATTGAACCAACCTTCAGTTTGGCTTCATTCCATACATTCACTTGGAAAGCCTCCAACGTTGAAAATTCCCAGAATTTTGCACCCGTCGTCCTGACTGAGAGGCAGACGCGCAAACCACGAATGAGCAGATGGAAAAATGAGGCATCCAAAACAATGACCTGAACAGATGAGAGCATTTATTATTCTTGGTTGTCCAAGCATCATTGACTATTGCTTACAATTGAGACGTCTTGTTTTCGCTTGCCATCGGAGGTGTTTTCCAGCGATGTTTTTATTTGCAGTTCAAAGCCACGAAACTGATCTTTAAGCTGTTGGCAGAACACCACAAAATACAAACAAACAAACAAAAAAAGCAGCACTTCACTTTCTAGACAGAAGAATGCTTCACTGAGTTGACTTTGTTGCCGACAACGCATGAACATTGATGATGATGAGGTGCACCTTTGAGATGATTGGCACGAGCACAAAATAAACCAAAACAACGCCCCTGCCCCAAGAAAAAAATAAAATAATCACGTGAAAATCTGTCAACTAACATCAAGAACCAATGTAAACAATCATCCTGTTAGTTTATTTCTGCTGGAGATTACACGTGCTCTATGGAACAAGACATTAGTAGGAAATGTTTGGAATACTTAATCGCACGTACAGCGTATCAAAAAAAAAGGTGACGTACATGTTTATTTTTGTGCAAAATGCTTTAGTAAACTACAATTTGGCATTTATGAACAATCCTTTTACAAAAAAAAAATAAACGTTTAAAAAAAAAAAAAAAATCAAATGAATTTCCAAACTTCCAGCCAGCCACACCCCGACTCCGAGAAAGCCCTTTGAGAATTGACTCCCACTCGGCCAGCGCGCGTTGGCAACTAGTGCACAATTTGGGCTCACTCGCAACATAGTTGACCGTACACTAGTAGGACCACCTGTTAGTCGTGAAGCAAAACTGTGCACTACTTGACATTTATCTGCACATCACTAGCGAAGCACTAAATGTCAACTCTCAAGAATTTTCTTACTAGTAGCACGAGTACCATCCAGTCGTCAACTCTTGCACTGACTGGTCTTCTGAGTGAAGACAGACTAAATACTCAAAGCCCCCCCCCCAATTGTGGCTAGTGTGCAAAGTGCAAGCAGCCGGGCCAGAGGAGGCAATTTCATGATGACTGGAAGAAATGATTGACAGGCAACCACGAGAAGGTAAGGCATCAAGACTGAAGGACACCGGACACCTGCACACAAAGCCCATATTAGGACGCATCCATTCACACGACATCGATGGCATTGCTGGCTAAGTAGCGCCGGAACAAAAATGGCCAAAGGGTATGCTGATCTTTTACGAATTTGGGAGATATTTCAGGCAATATACTGTTAGACTGCCGCTCTACATGCCGCACCGTTTGTGTTCAACTGTCCATGACTTGAACCAACTGCCACGTCGATGGAGTTTCCCCAAGAAGCGTTAGCAACTCAAATGTGCTTAAAGTGTGGGCGAGGGGTAAAACACACCTCTTTTTTTATTGGATCACCACATTGCCGATTTTTGGGACGCTCGAGGCTGGGCGTGGAACATATGCAAGCGGGTTTCACTGCACATCCAATGTCACATCTCACCGGCTGTGTGCCTAACGTAGCGTCCAGTGAGCATACATACAAAGTCACGAGTCACAAAAACGTTTGGGGCACGTTCAATTTTCCGGAGAATTCCGTGTTTCGCTCTCACTTGTGGCGAGTCGGCCAAAGTCTCGTATCTTCTGGGCTTTTTGTGCATCTACCGATTGACTGTAACATTGCCCGTGCCGTGACCAAGAAATGGACTTGAACCGAACGCGACGGCGGCCATTTGTTGGTCGGCCCGGTTGCTACGAAACCTGCAGAGGCGCAACGGGACACACATGGGACCTAAGCTTATGACCTTTGTGGGGGCGTATCATGGCAAGGAAGAGGAGGAAGGGGAGGGCGGGCTCGCGAGACGTTACAGGTCGTCGTCGCCGATGCCCTCGAAAGCGTAGTTGCCGTGGAAATCGCCGCCGCTGATGTCGCCGGCCGAGTTGGAGGCGCTGATCCCACGCAAGGACACCGAGCTCAGCTTGGTCTGTGGAGTCCGCGGCGGGAAACATTGTTATTGAGGGAAAGTGGCAGAATGGCGGCGAACCTTTTGGGCGTCCACGTGATCGTTTTTTTTTTTTTTTTTTGGTTTCTTGCTTGGTTCTTTTTCATCCCCTCCCATCTCAGCTGTCACTTAGCGCGCCGCCAACCGTTCATCCAATCACAGTCAGGTGCCGTCGTGGCCTCGCAGACAATCGGAACTTGCGTGAGTGGGCGTGGCTTCGGATCGGCCGTGTAACCTTGAGCTTTTGTTACATTTGACGAGTTCATCGACCTCGACCTACAATTGCGCCATCGCGGCCTGCTTGTTCAATTTCCGACACTTCCAGTCGACGGATTACAATTCTACAGTGTTTCAGTTCATCAGCGCATAGACATTCACGAGCAATTTCTACAGATATCACGTTCTCCAGTTATTATTTTATTGTCCTCACCGATAGTTTGATGATCTGCTCGCGGCTCTGGTCGGGAGAGTCCTGCATGGGGGCAGCAAAATAAATCAATACATACAATTATAATTAAATAAGCAAACGGGATGTGCGGGAGGAGTGTGTGTTCATGTTATTGCGTCATTTCTCACCAGCAGTGGGGGCGATTTCACACCTGGCTGACAGTCGGGCCGCTGCATGGAGCTGTCGTGTCGTTTCCTTAACATCTAAGCAAGACACAAAGCACATCGTTTGCAGAGCCGTACAACCAATTTGACACTGCGGGGACCTGCGTTTTGGAATTTCTTTTTCTTTTTTTTTTTTTTTTTAAATGAACCGTGAATGCATTTGCGTGATTGCAAAGAATAAAATATGATGGCTTGATCAAACTTTTGGGTTGAACATAACTATTGACCTTGACCCTGGCCAACCGGCACGTATTCATTCATCCCACATCAAAAAGATATTCTATTCCATTCGTGTGTTCAGAATGAATCATCAAAAAAAAAAAAAAAAAGCATCAAGACTACTGTGTCGCGTGGGTCACAAAATATGAATGAACCTTCTTGATGCTGCCGCCAGACTTCTTGACCATTAACTCGTCCACCATTGACTGAAGGCAGATGCTCATCATGATGGCCTGAGAGCAAACGCACAACTCTTGTCATTTTTCAAGTGCAATTTGTTCCAGTACCGAGACTGAAGAGGTGACGAGCGCTCACCTGCTGGCTGGTGATGGTAACCCAGCGCAGGCGGTCCTTGCTCATCAGATACTCGAAGGCCAGCTCCAGTTTCACGTCGCACTTGGCCGACCCGCACGGGTTGTTGGTGCCGTTCGCGATTGGGACTTGCTGCAAAAAATAATCATCGTACATCAAAGACAGGGGTGGGTGGGGAGCATCTTTTTCGGGCTGGGGGTGTGCTTGAGATACTTCGTCAACACAATTGCCTCCTCCCCGCCTGATGTTGAGGCATATTCCGGCAAATGCAATTTGATGAGCGGTGATGCATCAGTGCTGCACCTAATGAGCAAGATGGGGGGGGGGGGGTCCTAATGGCGGCAGAAAATGAGCTTAGAAATTCATTGACTTGCAAAAGAGCACGGACGGGGGCGGGGGTCTGTAATGAGTCAAGCTGCGGGGCATGCTAAGTGAACTCAGCCTTTGTCGATGTGCTTGGAGGTGAGCAGCATTATGCTCAATAAATGAATAAATAAATACAAATAAAATAGAAGGTGTGCGTCCATCAGAGTGTACCTTATTAATGCCAGGAGCCATATTTGGGCATGTAAATGATATGACCCCGTTACCGTTTCTTCAAATTGGGACTATTAAAAGTCATGAAGAAATAAACATCTATCCTGTAGTTCAAATTTTAAGTCGTCAATAATCATGATGCAAATGAGGACAAACGCCGAGGACGTCGGCACACTTGGAGAGAGAGAGAGAGAGAGAGAGAGAGAGAGGAGCGGGCGTGAAGGACGCTTGGCAAAAACAACTTTGTCTTGGCCTCCACTACACGGACGCATGCCAGGTGGACCGCTTGACATCTTGAGAGATGCAGCAGACCCGCAGTTGACCCGCAGTAGACCCACACACACACACACATGCGCGCACTTACGGAGGACGTGACTCTCCAACAGCGCATGCGTGTGACCTTGAAGCTGCCCTCCTTCATCTGCTCGTTGGGCAGCTTGACGTGGAAGTTGAGCTCATTGTTGCCGGCGCCCACGATGACTTGGCAGCCCTTCTCGGGGAAGTCGGTGGCGCACGGGTCGAACTTGATGTAGCCGTAATATTTCAGCGTCTGGCCCAGGTGGATGAACTGAAAAAAAAAAAAAAAAGAGTTCACTTCCATTTAGCTCTCGTGTGTTCAAAGTAGGGCGTGGTTTGGCAAAGCGCAGGGCAACCGGGCGGCGTGTTGCTCCTACTTCCTTCTTGGAGCCTTTCTCCTGCAGGGACTTGAGCTGCCTGTGCTGGTCTTTGCTGACGAGCATCCAGCCTCGCTCGATGTCGGACACCGTCTGGTTGGACACAAAGCACAGCCAATGGACTCCTCTGAAAGTGAATGCCACAAATCAAAAAAATAACCCCCCCCCCAAAAAAAGAAGAGTTTCTTACCTGGGCATACAGCAAGTTGAGGCCAACTCTGTTGTCCATGACATCCGCGTCGTACACCATGTCCCAGTAACTACAGAGAACCAGGCACAGCCTTTACAACACACTTGACTCAATCGTGTCACTTTTAATTTCAGCATGTCTCCGAACAGCCTTCTGCATTTTGTTCTCTCTGGCTCTTGTACGCCGGCGGGGTAGGGGGGTCTGCTCGGCATCGGCCTTGCAACTTTTGTCGGGTTTCACATTCCAGCTTCCGCCCCGCTGTTCCACATGCGCAGCAAAAAGTACAAATTCGAAACATGGACACTACCTTTTCCGTAGGAGGATGTGAAATTCTGAGCTGCGGAGGCTGCTGATGGACACATAGGGCAGCTCGAACTCCTGAAGCTTCCGCACGACTACAATGGGGGGGCAAAGAACACACTCAAGACGCTTGGATGACCAGAGTCAGCACACCATAGAATGACATTATAAATCATTTAAAAACGTCACATTAATTTGAAAGCCCATGTCCCCCCCCCACCCCCCAAAAGTGAAATTAGAGGAAACGTGGAATTTTGCGCCATGTGTAAAAATTATTCCCGGGGGGTAGTCACGTCTTTGCACAGGACATTCCAGTTAGCTCGATAAGCAACGTGCAATCGAGTGCGTCGCTGATTGTGTAAGCGGGTCTTGTTGTTGGGTTGTTGGAGGTGTTGTTGCATAACGTACATGTAAGGCCTCCCTCTTCTCCTTCCCGGACGAGGAAAAGACTGAAGTAGGCCACAAGGTCTTCGGGGAGATCCAGTTTGGTTGCGACGACCTTCAGACAGAACGGCAGTCACTTGACATTTAATCACTTCAGAGAACACTCTGAAGATCACCCCAAAAAAACAATTAAATTACAAAGAAAAAAAATCGCTTACATCCAGCACGTCTTCGGTCTGGTCGGAGCTTAGAATGTTGATCGTCACCTTCTGACCGTTAGCCAGGCAGATGTCCAGAGCAACTTCCTCAGTCGGAATCTGCTGAGTCTCCTGCGAGAGTCACAAAAAACGCGTCGCAGATGGAACACCTTTTGTTTTCTACTATAATGCTGGAAAATTCGTGTGGCGTGAGCAGCAAAAATCTGTCGCAAGCCTTGTGGAACACCACCACTTCTCTACTGCACTGGCAAGTAATTGTGACATTTATGTCGAGGTTAATGTAAAAATCTTTGGACATCGCATGGAGACTAGTGGAACCCCACCAGAGTGTATCTGGAGGGAGTTTTGAGTTCACGATGAGAGCTTTGCATCGAACCTGCTGTGCTTTTCTCAGGAAGCTGTTGAACAGCTCGCTGGCTCCAAGCTGCGGGTCCTGGCGTACTGTCGAGAGGAAAAGAGGAAATGCGACAAGGAGTCAGAAGAGCCAAGCAAGGTGAAAAGTGACCCGTGTTAAATGGCCGCAGGTTCAACCAGAAATGACGACGGTCCCCGCGCGCAGCGGCATTATCTACGATGATAAGAGGAGGCGCGCGAACATGAAGACTGAGGCCTTTCATGAAAACGAGGGCAAGCTCGGAGGCCGCGCTCATTTTTCCACGTCTAAGCCTCGCTGTAACCGAGGCGGCCTTTGGCCAAGAGCGGCGCACATTCGCGGACTCTGAGCAAACAGGCGCTCCGACAAAGCCTCCTTGTTGTGCGGTGGTGGCCGGCGCTGAGAGGATTAAAACAGACCCGCTTGGCTAGCGCGGCCAGCTCCGCAAACTGGCTTGTGTACGCACACGCTTCAGCTTCAGGGTAACATGCTTTAAAAGTGCAGATCAAAGTCCGCGGTCGGGTGCCGGAGCGTGACTTGAAAGGCGGACGGGGTCGACGCACTTGAAACCCAAACGGAATTCGAACCACAAGCAGACGTAATCAGGGAAAACACTTTTTTGTTTGTCTAGTGAGTGTGGTGAAAACTTTGTAGCAGCCATTCAAAATATTCATTTGGTTTTTGGGCAGGCTGGAAAAAAAAAGCTCAAGTGACCTGAAAATGACTTTCTGCATCAGGGGAAAATAGCAGGCCTGTTCTCGGAGATGACTTTTGTTGGACTTTTGCATGATGGTGTGGGCCCTTGAAGTCAAATCAAATGGTCTTTTGGGATCAGAACTTTCTTGGCGGGACCCTGGACATGTCCAAAATGACTCAAAAAATGTGAACAAAGTGGCGATAAGAAAACTGTTTCTTAAAAAAAAAATAAAAGAAAATAAATAAAACCAAAAACATTGAAGTTGGTTCAAGGCAACAGTGGCACATATTGTGACTTGTAAACAACCCAAATCGGTCACCCTGGTCCATTTTGCAAAAAGTCAGCTTTCAGTTCCTTAAACCTAAAAGGCGAGACTAAAACAGTGCTGACTAGAAACAGATCTTTTTTATTCCTGAATGAGACCAACCTTGGTGTTTCCAAATGCCCTCAACTCTTAACTGCGCACACTTAGAATGCATTCCACCAGACGAGAAGACGACATATCGTACATTTTTCACACAACATGAGTTCTGCCGCACGCGTGCATGCGTGCGTGCGTGTGTGTGTGCGCGCACATAGAGGGGGTTTCATAAACAACTGACCGGCCTGCATGTACTTCTCGAGTTGCTCCCTCCTCTGCTCCACTTCAGCGAGAGTCAGCGTGAAGATCTTCTTTGGAGGGAAGGAAGGCACCACGTTGCTGCCATATTCCTTCTTGATCTGTCGGCGCAAAAACCGGTTCTTGTCAAGGCTGACGGCATTTTGCCCTTTCCATCCGCCCCCGTACGTGATTCATCAACACTCAATCACAGTTGCGCATTCATTCATCCAAACAGCTGCCGATTTTTATTTTTTGAAGTGAGCCGAGTTCCCTGCCGCCAGACAGCCCTCACATGACGTCATGTTGCTAAACGCGCGGCTTAAATGTGCTTTTCTCGCTTGCTGACTACTTCTCAAGATATCATTGGCGGATACGTTGCGCTTGCAACACATTTCGACAGCACAAAGACAGAAAACACATTGAGAAGGCACGAACGTGACAATGAAAGCGTGCGAAAAAGCGCCAGGAGGCCGGTTCGGTCCTACCTGCTCGTGGAGGCCCAGCAGTTGACTGTAGCGCCCCCGACAGTGCAGAACGCCGTTGACGTGGATGTTGTAAGCCTGCGGGAGGGACACAAGCACCCACCCACGTTAGCATTTGTTTATTTATTCGGTACGGCAAGCGGATTCTGGTTGACCTTTTTTTGCTTTGGTGTGGACATTTTTTGCCCGTCCTCTGAGGTGTTACCTGATCCAAGGTTTTTTTCGTTTGGCATCATTTGCCTTGAGATACAAGTTTGGAACACGACAATGGTAAATCATCTTTCCCCCATGAAATGAACCCAAGTGTCATGAATGCGATCACCCCCCCCCCTCAACACCACCCAAAAAAATTTAAATCAGGAAAACAGATCTCTATTAATATTCCACCATTTGTGCCAAATGTCTATTCCACCTATCGATCGATGCTAACTGTTGACCCTATTGCATTTTCCTTGATGTGTTGGGATTAAGCTAGCGGGGTCATGCTTGAAGAAAGAACCGGTCCAACGGCCAGTCTCTCGAAAAGCCTTGGCTCACTCTTATCCCAAGGCACCACTTGCCAAAGCGAATCCAATCAAGATCCGTCGTCGTTGCTGCTATCGGGTTGTGCAACGGACTGCATAGCTCCTCTGTGAAATCACCGCTTGGATGCAGCGGCCCAAACGTCTCCGAGCCAAAAGCCCTGCATCTGACTTGCTGCCACCACACTTAATTGGCAGAATTTTGTGAAGGGAACAACTGTGTGTGTGTGTGTGTGTGTGTGTGTGTGTGTGTGTGTGTGTGTGTGTATAAATCTGTGTGTGTGTGTGTGTGTGTGTATATATATATATATATATATATATATATTTTTTTTTTTTTATGTGTGTCCTCCTCTGTGGCAGGAAGTGCATTCTGCATGCTTGCAGTAAGAGGCCATTTCCCACGCGGGTGTCGAGAGACCACGGGTGCTTTTAATCTTCTCGCTTGCCTGCGTCAATTGAATATTTATAGTCCACAACGTCCTGAGTCATCTGTCCAAACAAACGCCGATGGAGGGCTAATTCTGCCACGACACCAAAAATAAATAAATAAATAAAACAGCCTGGCCTTTTCAACAAGGGAGAGAGAGAGAGAGAGAGAGAGAGAGAGAGAGAGAGAGAGAGAGAGAGAGAGAGAGAGAGAGAGGAAGGAAGGTTAAAGAGTGTCGAGGAGAGCAAATGTGTGTGTGTGTGTGTGTTTTGGGGGGGGTGCATGAAGGCAGGAAGCAAGAGTGACTAAACCCATGACTGCTTTTACAGTACAACTTGCTCGTTCACACGTGAGGTCTACTCCCTAAGCAGTATACCGCAAGACCAAGCACATAGCTAATGCTAACTTTATGCTAAGCTAATACCTAATTGGAAACCCTGTCGACGAGTTCATGAATAGCATCATGTCACGGACTTCAAACTCTTGAAGGAGAAAGATGACGACAATACGGGCTGTGACCAACAATTGTTTGAATCAATTTCTCACTTGATTTTTAAATTAATCAATGAACGGTATAAAACATCCCTTTGCTCAAAAGCGGGACATCAACAAATTGATTAGAATTCAGTTTACAGGTGAACGTTTAATCGACGACTAATCATGTATCTTCATCATCAATTCATTTGCATAGCAGTTTGTCTAAATGATTGGAATTTCAACTTCTCAATGGTAAATATTCTTCAGTTTCGCGCATCCTCCATCACAGCAAAAATTTATCAACTTAACGCCAACTCGTGCAGCTGTTCTGCAAGTGTGTCAAATTGTACTTTCGAGGGAGGACAAATTGCGTCCTCAAGCTGAATGTCGAACGAATGCCCTGGTTGGGACGATTGTGAAACGCATAAGCAACCAACGACACCGATGACTCACCGGTGCCAAAGTACAAAGAGCTCATCTCGAAGCACAGCCTGCAAACAAGTCCCTTCCTGAAGCTGGGTCACCGTGACATCGGTTTTGGAATGGCTCAAAGGCACCTTTCGGCTGGTTTGTAGTCTTCGCTAGACACGCGCGCACACGTACCAGCCTACTCCAAACGCTGTTTGGACCACGGGCTGGAAAAAGCGTCAACAATCCGAGTGCGGCGAGATTATTCATTCCAGAGATGCTCTTTTTATCCACGTAGCTGACAAAACAGCAAGAAGGCCAAGCAGTTCCCGAGCAACAAAATTTGCCCTATGAATTGGCTTCCTGACATTTTTAGGGAATTCTATCACATACACAACGCAAGTCGCCAGCAAAACAAGGTGGCATCTGTAAAGCTGAAGTCCTCAGTGGTTCCACATTTCGCTCCATTGTCTTAATTCAGCCATTTTTTTTTTAAAGTAGAGGTGCCATGTTGACAGCCGTTTCGGAGCATTTGCATGCACTCCAAAGCAAGAATAGACTCTTCTTTCAACACAAAGATATGTATGGTTTGATTGATTCTTTCATAATCTGGGTTGGGTTCTGCACAAACACTGGTTTATGTTCAAAAAGTGGAGAAAAAGCACTTTCTGACATTTAGTTTTAGAGAAAAAAAGATGGAGATGGGGAGGGGTGCATAGCAGAATATTATAAGTTATTCAGATACCCCACGAAAAAAAAAATTGTCAGCGTTAACTCACTACCAAGCTAGAATTGATCGTCAGCAGCTTTTTTTTAACATGGTGTTCTACATTCACTACTCCATCATCTTTTCTCAGATCACAAACGTTCTAGTACGTACCACAAGACATACTAAAAAAAATCTGTCTGTTACCCTATGTCCCTGCTAGAGCTATTATCCATTCTAAGAAGCAATCCTGCAATGAGCTCATGCTGCATTTCGCGTTCAAACACATTGAAAATACTCATAACAATACAGGTGTCTTCATGCTCACCACATAGGTAGATCCATTTTCTCCCGAACGAACCTCCGTTTCGGGTATGGAAAAATGCATGTTTAGCTCCCAGCCAGCGGTACTTGAACGCCACCTCGGCTAACGATGCTCAAGACGCCACAGTTGTCCGGAATTGGAATCAAATAAAACAGATAAATTCCGCTGCGGTGAGAGTCGCTGGTGACTTGAGAGACGAGGGAAGCATGCACACGGTTCGGCTCGGTCCAGTGAGGCCGTGTCGGGCTGCAGCGGAGGCGAGTTAGCATCCACCTCCGTACGAGCTAGCTTCGTCATGAAAAAAAAAAAGTAATGGAAAAACTCGTCTCACGTCAGTCGTAAACTTTTCAAACTGCCACAGTAAACATGTTACAAGTCTGGAGGAATTGCACTCCCGCAAGCAGTGACGTTAATTTATCTCGTCATTTAAAACTTTTTTCCGAGTGGCTATTGCGTTAAAACGAATTTTAAGTTTAAAAACTTGTCAGCGTTCACATTCGCTAGCAGACGTAGCTAACGAGATGGGAGATGCAGCTGGTTTCTCCCGACTCGATGGGAAGAACCACCCACGATACAAGAGGGGTGGAAACGGTTGTACCTTTTGGTTCATGAAGAGACCCTCTCCTCCTGTAATCAACGAATGAAAAAAATAAAATCGCACACACTCTAATAAATTTGTATAGAAACGTGAAATAGCTGAAATTGACATTTTAAACATCTTGTATCGGTCACTTGAAACAGTCCTGGCAGATAGCATTTTTTTCCTACTTAGGGGTGGTTGAACCAACAAGTATTAAAATAACATTGGGAAAACTGCGTATTTTTTTGTTCAGCCATTATGTTAAATGTAAAATTTAATAATTGGGTAATTAATAATAATTGCGGATGGATGAATTTCTTTAACATGTGCTGAAAACGCCCGCCCGACTTCTGTTTGGTGCGATCCAAAGTGACAACCATTAGAGGGCGGGGCATATATGTGTACTGTAAAAAAAAAAACCCTGATTCATAAAAATATTTTAGCAGTAGTATTGATTGGCATGTACGTTGTATTTTAAAGATAGACTCTTACACTGCGCTTAAATGGGTAAAAAAATAGTGGAATTAAATGGTTTGCGAAGTGCTTCTGGTCACGTGTCCGCTACAGTTGGTCACATGACTTCAGTTGGTCAAAATGAAAACTGGGCAGGATCTGCTGACGCCTACCTGGCTTGTTTTCATCCTTTCTTTGTGTATTTACCGCAGCCACCAACTGGTCAAGCCGCAGGTATCACCCAGAATCGCAATTTTGTTTATTACGCTATCATTAATAAGACGTCAAAACAAAATAACAGAGACTACAAACCAGTAGTAGGCTCATTCGATACGCTCTTGACTGTCAAGCTTGTGTTTTTGCTGTGCATCAATAAGAGTAGACGCAAACCATGACTATATCACGTTGTGATTCTGGTGTACGTTCACAGGTGTGCAAACAATGTAGCGGGACTGTGCCGAAAGGCTCCGAGGTGGGCAAATTTTGCTCCTCGTCCAGCGGTCGGGTCGTCGGACGTTGCTGCCTGGCGAACGAAACGAGTAACCATGAACGCATCATCGGGTACGATTGTGTATTTATAGTGTTGTTACGATGTTATTTACCGCTCCATCAGCTGGAGTCGAACCACCTTGTGGTAGGCAGAGTGGAAATGATACACATACTGTGGAAAACACTCCACAATTATTTTTTCCATTGTAAACACGTTTTTGTTTTGGACCGCTTCGTTCGTAAAGGTGCGTTCCACATTATGCGAAATATGCCAGTGAGAGTAGGCTGTATTTACTTTTCAAATAACAGTGATGCCTTGAGGTATGATTAACCAACCCAGCATTTCGAGATAAGAGCTGTCGATGTGCTTTGAAGTGAGAGTATTTTGAGGTACCAGCGTAGTTACTGAATAAATTCAACTCGGATCTCCAAGCATTCCTCGAGCCACGGTGAACCGGTCATTGGTTAGGATTGAGAATGCCGCACTTGAGCCTGTGGGAAATACAACAATTACAATTTTCACCCTGTTTAGGTACCTACATTCGGCTGAATTGTTTCCAGTTTATTAACATATAGGCCATATTTCAACTCTGACCTACTTACATGTGTTGCCTTTGTGTTTGGTTTTAGGCTGGATTTGTCCAATTGTTCTTTAACGCATGTGGACAATCTCCAAGAAGCATCAGACGCTTTAATAATGTATGCACGAGTCACACACACTCTTCCCACTTGACCCATCGTGGACGCATTGAATGTGTTCGTTCTAAAAGTCGCCTTTTTTTTTCCAATCTTGATTTTCGCAGAGATCTGTCCTCAAACGCCATCATCAACATGAGTGACTCAGCATTTCAAGGATTCAGCCAGTTACGTCAATTGTAAGGAGTGTCATTTTTTTGTACTAATCCTTTTTTTAGAAAAAAAATGTTCGGCTATATATTTTTGTTTTGTTAAAAAAAAAAAAAAAAACATTTTTAAAAAGACCATACTCTCCATTTCAGATTTTTGCCAGCAGACATCGCCTGTCCAGGTGGGAATTCTTCCTGGGACAAAGTGAAGACAAATGAGGGAATACGCCTTTGCGAAGGCCAGAGGAACATGTGCAATCAGTCTGGGAAGATGCGTAAGTTGAAACAATGCAAACCTGTATCAACCAAATCAAATTGGCTAAATGGCATGATCTCGATCCGCAGCTGTTCACTGTCCGGAGTACTCCCATTGCGCCGCGTACGGGCCCGGCTTCTTCCAGTGCAGCTGCGCCGACGACTACCACGGATACAAGTGCCTGCGAGAGGTCCGTTTCTTTCTCAACGCTTGCATATTGTACACATATTCGTTGATTGGTTTTTGACATCCGGCATTGGTCCATCATATTATGCCCAACAGGGGGAGTTTCCAGCCCTGTGGGTGTTTGGGCTTCTGGGAGCTTCCACGCTTGTCCTTTCCCTCCTGCTGTGGCTCACTCAGAGGCGAAAGGCCAAGTCGCTCTAGGCTAGCTCAGATTTGGGGGGGGGGGGGTTGTTTTGTTCTATGTGCATTTATCTTCTGAGTGAGCTGAAAGGGAAGTACATAACCGGATACGCAAGGGATTCTTAGCTGGTTTTTAGGGTCACTGTCACCTACTTTGTGTAAATGGTATTTTAGTTTTGGTACTGCATTCATCGCTAGAAACGTGTGTGTGTGTGTGTGTGTGTATGTGATTTTACAAAGGCTGCAAATTTTACAGCGTTACCGTGTATAAGACAAAAACTACATTCTTGAGGCATTTTTTTGGGGGGGGGGGCAAGTGCTCCGCCCTCACTTCAAAAGTTCCATGGCACAAGATGATGCCAAAGCACTACTTATTAGCTGAAGCTTTTGCGGCCTCTTGTGGCGTCTTATTGCAAAGAGCAGAACGTGACTTGTTTTTGTGTGTGTGTGGGGGTGGGGGGGGGGCGGGGGGTTCTTTCTTTTTTTCTTTTTTTTTTTTTTTTAACGAATAACAGAAAAAGACTAGAAAGCATAAAATAGAGAATAGTCGAACGAACAGTGTTATAAGTAAAGCTGCTAACAGCCATGAACGTGCCCTCGGGACCAGATTTTTCTATACCAAGTTCCATAAAATAAAATATATCAAAACTTTGATGCCATGCTCTGCCCAAATTGGTTCATTAAAAAAAAAAAAAGGTTATGTAGCATCACCTGTCTCGAGGATACAGTTTCATGTTTCATTTGACAATAAAGTTGTACTTGACTTGATTTGATGGATGAAACTGATGGTCAGTGCTGATTTTTTTTTCTTCAAACTTTTCAGGGGGGCGCTATCTTAAAGCCTTCCAAAGAAAAGTTATTTTATTGCAGCAATTCAAACCATTCCAATAATGCCTGTATCTGTACATATCTGTATATTTATTGGATGCTCAAAGCACGTTAGGTCACATGCGACGTGGCTCACTGGTCGACGCTTTTGACGCGCAGCACCACGGGCACTGACGTACATGGGATCATGCCCAGCTCTGTGATGACGGCATCCACAAAGTCAGGCGGCGTCACGTCATACACCAGGTTGAGCAGACCCAGCGAGCGGACCTCCTGCCAGTGCGCCAGCTGCGTCTTGCCCTTCCGCGTAACGATCAGGTTGTCAGGATCGTCTGGAGAAAAGAAAAACAAAAGACACACATTGCAGGGTGGGCCATCATCCAGTTGACTTGGAATTCCCATTTCAAACGCGAGCATACTTCATTCGGACTCCCATCCTAAAAATCTTAACAGTAAGTTGCAAGCACCAATGAAAATCTCCTCAGCTTGTTAGCTATGCTAGTGGGATCGTTTTACTTACCGAGCTCGTTTGATACAAAGGAGTCTGTCTGCACCCTCTCACAGAACTTGTACGTCTCGCAGCACACCAGCACAGGCACGTTGAAGGCTTTGGCCACCAGAGCGATTTGGGACGTGCCCACGCGGGACATCATGTAACCGTTGGCGAGCAGCGCATGGGCCCCCACGAGCACCTTTGACACCTAGGCGGCCAAAAGGCCACAGCTAAGTCTGTGTGTGTGTATGTGTGTCTCCAGCTCCAAAATCACCACTTTTCAAGAAATTAAAAAAATAATAATCATAAAACAGGATCTTGCTTAAGTTACCAAACAGCATGGTTCAAGTTGATGTGCCGTAAAATGCTATCATCGACACACAATCACCCCAAAATCATGTCTTTCAGCTATTCCCTTGTTGAGAGCTGAACAAAATATCGATGACGTCTCCGCTGATTCAAAGTCGACTTGACGAGCTAGCATCACAATAGCGTCAACTCCAAAAACCTGTCAGCGTTGAAACCTAGCGTGTGGGTGTGGTTCACCTCTGGGAGGATGTAGGAGACGACCGAGATGAGGATGTAGGTGCAGCTGATGCCGTGCTGGACCAGGCGCCGCAGGGCCTCGCGGCCCTCCAGCCGTGGCCTGCTGTCCACCACGATCACCCGGAACTTGCGGCCCATGTTGAAGGCTTCGTAAAGGATGTGGTTGACCAGCGATGAGCTGCGCACGGCCAAAAAAAAAAAAAGAAAGAAAGAAATCTAAGCAAGCTCATGAAGCGTCCAGAACATCCGATCTGATTTGAGCTGACCATCCGTAGACGAGGATGACATCGCCGTCACTGATCTTTCCAATGGCAATCTCCGCGACGGCTTTGGCCGCCAGGACAATCTTTTCGTCAATGTAGCAGTCGATGCAGTTCAGCAGCTTGCTCTTTGCCTGTGAGGAAGACCAGGGGGATCTTTGGGTCACACAAAGCATTTAACTTGGAGTGACGGGTCAACATTTGCACTAACGAGCTTGTCAATGGCATTTCACATGAGATGTGGGCAGTAATTTCGCTAGTGCACAAGGTTTGAGTGTCTTTTGTTTTCACACGTCAGTTTCAAAGCCTGCCAACTAGAGGGGAGAACAAAAATACACCTCGTCTTCCTTGCAGTGATTTGGAATGTTGGAGATCTCCTTCTTGATATATTTGATTGCATTTCCCATGCTGGCCGACAGGGGACGACATTGGTTCAAGAAGCTGCAGAAAAAGGCAGATATAAAAAAAAAATTAACATACTGTACATACAATATTTATAAAACTATTTTAAAACACGGTTACCTTAAGAAACCAAATTGTTCCATTTCTTGACATTTATGTCATTTTCAATGTGTGGATTCTGATGTATTTAATATAAAACAGAAATACATGAATCTACATCTAAAAAAAAAAAAAAAAAAAAAAGAAATAACTTGTATCTGTTATGTCTTCCACACTAAAAATTGATGTAAAATGCACCAATAAAAATGAGACAATTATTTTTAAAAAATTGGAATAAGTAATAGTTCTTACCTTATGTAAGGTTTCAATCTGTTGACCAAGTCTCTTGCTAGCTCTTCATTGGGCGGTGTGGTGTAGTCCCTTATGACCTGATGGGACACACCGTGTGCTTTCACTTGTACTCCCTTTATCGACACAATAGCCCAATTTCATACGGGACTGGGTGGCACCACACCTGTTTGAAGGCGTGCAGCAGTGCCACGGAACGAGCGTTGGATCCCGCCACAATGCCTTGCGAGTACTGGAGGCCCAGTCGAACGATAGCGGGATGGATGACCGACGAGGGGATGCTGGCGAGGCACAGGGAAGACATGACATTAAGTTTTATTTATTTGACGATCCAGTCGATCATCCAAAGTCAAACACACCAGAGCTACAACGCATGCGACTCCAACATGGAAGACCCCCATCACGCGTAAAGTCTTACCAGACCCGGTCGATGCATTCGATCGGTCGGATCGATGAATGAGCTTACCCGACTTGCTGCGTCAGAGGGGCTTTGCGGCTGTACTGGTGCAGGTGTGAAAAGAGGCTGACCTTGTAGCCGTAGTCTGACCGCAGCGGGATCTGAAAGCAAAGCACGGCAAGTTCTCCTATTACTTGAATGCCATTGAAAAAAACAAACAAACAAAAAATCCCACAGCAAAACACAACAGATTCTTAAAAAGTCATTAACATGCACAGAGAAACCAAGCAGTGCCGATCATTTGCTCCTGAAGCAGCCCGCAAAGGAAGACGATGTCAAAACAATGATTTTTGTACCTTTTCTGCATGCGCTGGTGTCTGAAAGAAATGACCATCACATGCTGGCAGATTTTCACATATGGAGTGTATCGCCACACAAAAAACTGGGGCTCACTGTACATTAGCTCTTTTGGATGACTTATGTGCTCTCTAACATAAAAAAAGACTTATTTGTACTTTTTGGGATTTTCTAGAATGAGCTACCTGTTGTCTTTCCAGCTTCTTGGCCAGCTTCTTGACCACATCAGGGTCATCTACTTGGACGTGTTCGGGCAGCCTCTTCACCACTACCACACACAACATACCAGTGAGTCTTTCTGGACTACGCAACGTTATTTCCCCAATGTGGCATTACCGGGCTGCAGCTCGCTCGGCGGCACTTTGGGTTTGGCGGCGGACGCGGCCTGCTGTTGGCTGCTTTCACGCTTTTTGCCCTGTTTGGAGGACCTATCGGAGTCATGTCGAGGTCTCCTCTCCGCTTTCAGCTCCACTTTGCTCTTGACCGCCTTGTCAGATGTCGCGGTAGCATCGGCACCAGCGGCAGGCACTGAGGAAGGTGCTTTAAAAAAAAAAATGTTATCATAATAATATTTTTAAATAAGCAAAAAAGTCGGCTCAGTTGAAATGAAAAAGGCAGAGAGGAAAAAGTTGTCCACCTTTTTGTGATGGCGGCACAGAAGAACCATCAGGCTTTGTGGCGTCATCTTTTTTTTCTTTGTTTTTCTTCTGCTGCTTCTTCTCTTTCCTCAGCCGCTGCTTCTCCTCTTTGGTCAGCTCTTTGCCTTCACTCTGTGTCGTCCAAATGCACGGCAGAATATAAACTATATTTGTGGCACACATTTCAACAAACAAAAAGACAGAAACCCACTCGCCTTGGAGCGCTCAATTTCTGCTTTCTTGTCGCTTTCATCTGCAGGTTGGGATACAGTTTGAAAATATCACTTGACACTTCAGTGATAATCATCGCAGCTATATGTAAAGCCATTTGAGCATTTATTCAATAGGTGCATGAACCAGGGCGTGCTTTGTCCTTACTAATAAGACTTTACTTTAGCCATTCTACTCGTGTGCGTATGTAATTTCTCTCCGGCTTGAGGTCGATGTACTAACTAGTACGCTCCCTCCGCACTTTTGTAAGACAATTCCTCGTACGAATAGACTGACTCCATCTGCCACCGATATTTGCACCGTGAGAGCAATTTACGTTTTTGTGGCTCTTTTGTTTGAACATTTTAGCACAGTAAGTGAACTGGACCTTCTTATCTCCGATGACAATTATGTTTTTTTGCTAACTATGAGTATTTACGTCTAAAGATCACCAAAACTGTGCGTTAGCTTCCGCGACTGGTTCGGGTGAAATACATTACCTTCGCTGAGACTCGGAGGTCAAATATTTCAACTCTGGCTGTGTAAGCGCGGGTCATTTCTGTCCGGTCTCTCGCCACAAAACATCATCAGCACGCGAGAAGCGTCACTAAAAGCAGCGCTTACACGGACTGCACACTCACCTGTCTCTACCTTGTCGGCCATCATTCCGGATGCCGCCTCACTTCCGGTTAGGGCAAGAGGGACGCAAAAAGTGTTTCGCCCCCTACTGGCGCTGCCCGCGCATTGAACAAGAAAGAAAACGACATTTTGATTTTCAAGTGAGCATGCCCTTGTATTATTGGAAGCCAGAAAGAACTCAATATTGATGGAAATTGTGGCCTAAACAAGGCAATTTTTAAATCAGAAAAAGTGATTGAAACTTCCAGTTACATTCATTTAATCTTCATTACAATATGAAGAAAAGTACAAGCGTTCTGGCTTGTTGTATGATGTGTTGTGCGTAAAAATCCTACTGAGTTTAATTCCAGTACAGCTAAGGTCGGTAAAAATTTCCACACACTTTTTATTTAATGATATCGATAGAATTATAGCTGACGCTAAGGTGATGATTGTCAAGTCAATACGTATATGGTTGTCTATGTATTATGCATACAAGAAAGATGTTGTCCAGAACAAAATTTATGGATTTGATATCTGATGAGCATAGTGTGTTTGTATTCCAGGATTAATTATTGTATGATTTAAACTATCTATAGTAGCTCAATAATAATAATAATCATAATACTTATTATTATTAAAACGTATTTTAAATAATACTGTACTGTATATTCAAATGATACGTATAGTAATTAGGACATGTGGATTGGCGTACAAAAATTGTGCAAAAAATACTCATGTTATCCAACAGTTTCTTAAATGGATTCAAAGTAGCGCTTTATTACAGCTGCAGCTGTTCTTTCAGTCACCTTTCATAGTCTTAAGTGTGACAGGTGTACCTCATGCTAAGTGCATATTGTGCAACAAATTCACCAGTGCTTCCGTTATTTTATTAATTTATTGACTTTTCGCGTGCACAGCCACACACAGGAAACAGTGAATTACTCCACTTTGGGCACGTCAACTATCCGGTTATCATCGTTACTATGACGACCACGCACGTGGGCGGGCGTCCGCTGACTGAATGCACGACGCAGTAGCTGGTTGAAGGGGACCAAACCTCACAGAAACACCTGACTTGGTTCCGTTTGACCAGCCACAGCAAGGTGTTGCTTCAGCTGAGCAAAGAGAGAGACGAAGAAGAAGGTGCGCAAGTGTGAAAGAAGGCCCAGCGTCCTCGTCACGCTTACCTAAAGAAACATACACATAGACAGAAGCTTACGTCTTTCTTCAACGTTTGCAGGGTAGAAAATCCTTATTTTTAGACCTCCTTCTTGTCCAAATGCAGCCATCATTGACAGCTTTGCATCCTCGGGTGAACCCCACCCAGACCCCCGTCCCCCACGCCGCCCGGCCGGCCCTCCCAGTCCCCTTTGTGAACCCCCCAATACATGCGTCTATAAAGGGGCCAACAGCTGTGCTCTGTCAATCCTCATTGACTGTTGGGCCAGGCTAAAATCAGCAGCCTTCCTTTCACCTGTCGTCCTGACACACGCGCGCACACACACACACACACACACACACACACAC